GAGCCCCAACAATCTCTGTATACAAACCTCCCACTAACAGCAAGGGTTGCTGACCTCTAATTTGAGAGCTCAGCCCACCTGCACCCAGGTGAAAACAAACCAGTTCACTGCATCACACGTAAGCCTTGAAAGGTTGATCTGAGCACTCCTGCTCCGACTCCAGGCTCACCCCCTTTCCCCGTCTCTGAACCTTTGAAGAACATTGGGTATGCTTGCCACACCCCACGGTCAACCAGCAGTAGGAGGCACCACTTGCCCTGTGTGGCCGCTTCCTTGCTCATTTCTCAGCCTGTGTGTGTGCCCGTGCCTGGGCTAAGCGAAGTGAGGGCCCCCAAAGAGAGGACGGGGTGAGGGGAGCTAAACTCCCCCACAAATGACTGATGTGAGTCTCAGTAGAACCTCTTACTCCACATCTATAGTTACCAATTGCATTTGATGTTGATTTGAACATCATGGCTGTAAGCTGTTTAACCTGAGATTAAACACAAGAGTTTGAGAAAAGTCGGGCAGGGAAAGCAAATGCAAGATCAACTTCTGTGAGCCTGCCCAAGGAGACAGGCTTGAGCAAGGAGCAAACCATGACTTCATCACCTCTGTATGGAACTTGGAGCGGGAGTGAGTTCCTTGCTGGGCAGCTAGCAGCCACTCCACTGGAGAAAGGTGGGGGCATCTCCTCCCATTGATATTTACAGTCGTGGAAACCTGATGGGGGTCACCATGAGTCAGAATTGACTCAGCAACAAAGATGGGCACCTAGAACATAGAGTATCTGGGAGGGGCATTTTTTGTGCTTTTGTTTTTTTAAGTCACATCAGGAAATAATTGCATTAATAGGGGTGTACACCAGGAATGTGTCCTGTCTCCATATCTTTTCAATCTATATGCAGAACAGATTACTCAGGAGACTGGGCTGTTTAAGGAGGAATGTGGCATCAGGATTAGAGGAAGATTCATTACTTCACCAACAATCTGTTATGAAGATGACACAATCCTGCTTGCTGAAACTGAGGAGGACCTGAAGCACCTGCTGCAGAAGATCAAGGACTGCAGCCTACAATATGGATTGAAGCTCAGCATCAAGAAGACAAAGAGTCTCACCACAGGGCCAACTGGTATCATGATGATGGATAAGAGATTGAGATTGTTCACAGCTTTAGTTTGCTTGACTCCACAATCAACACTCTTGGTACCAGCAGCCAGGAAACCAAGAGATGAATTGCTTTGGGAATGTCTGCTGTCAGGGACCTCTCCAGAGTACTGAAGTTCAATGACATCAGAATGGAGACTAAGGTGCACCTGATTCAGGCCATAGTCTTCACAATTGCTTGCTATGCATCAGAGTTGGGCAGTGACTAGATAGAAAGAGAATTGATACCTTTGAGCTGTGGTGCTGGAGAAGAGTATTGAATATATCATGGACTGCCAAGATAGCAAACAGGTTTGTCCTAGAGAAGGTGAAGCAGGCTCCCCCTTGGAAGCAAGGATTTTGAGGCTTTATCTAACATAATTTGGGCATGTTACAAGGAGGGACTGGTCCTTGGAGAGGGACATCATGCCTGGGAGGATGGAGGGATGGAGAGGAGGAGACCATCAATGAGATGGATTGATACAGTGACTGGGGTAATAGGTGTGTCGGAGACAGTAAAGTTGGCATAGGATAGAGCAGGTATCAGGGCTTTTGTACATGGGGTCATTATGACTCAAAAGCAACTCGACAGCACATAACAATAATGACACGGGCAATTATTTTCTACTTAATACAAAATTCCCCAATCAATTGCATAACTTGATACTGGCAGGCTTAATACTGTACAGCCCTTAGCTTTTGATCAAAAGTGTACAAACTACAGCCTCAGACTGAAATGAGTCACAAGTTATCTTTGTAAATACTGTTTGATAAGAACAAAGCCGATCCACCCACTCTTCCCTGTCCTCCACAACTGCTTTTACTCCACAGCCATAGAGACGAGTAATTATACACTCAAAACCCAAGATATTTACTCTGGTGCTTCTCAGGAAACGTGTGCGTGGAATCTGGTGTACAATACTGATCGTAGAGGATTACTTTGATATTTGATATTTAAATAGACATCTCAAACTTCGTGTGCAACAGGGATCTGCTCATGCAGAGCACTGTGCTTCAAAGCAGAGATTATCCTCACATTGTCATTGTTCAGTGTTGTTAAGAGTCAGTTGTGGGGAGCTCTGGTGGCCTAGTGGCAAGAAGCTGCACTGCAATCACAGAGGTACGCGGTTCAAATCCACCAGATGCTCTGCTGGAGAAGGAAGGACAATCTCATCCTGTACCAGTCAGACCCGATTTGATGGTACACGCACACAAAAATAATAATCAGTTAATAATGAGTCAGTTGTGACGCAGCGATCCTGTGAACATCAGACCTGAACCCTGACCTGTCCTGTGCCACCCTCAGCATCTGTGACACACTTGAGTCCTTTGCTGCAGTCACTGTGATATCCCTCCCATGGGGGAGATTCTAAACGAAAGGGATGCCCAGGTGCCAACCCAGAAGAGTGGGGGTCAGCATCTCTGGGGCTGGGTTCACCCTGGCATCTTTGAACGTTCACGGGATGGAATATCACAACTAGGAAAAGTTCAAGCAATGGCCAGCGCTGGCACACCTCCATTTCCTGCCCTTGCCCTGGGTCCCTTGCCCCCTGCAATAGCCACACCAGAGCCCACTGAAGAAGACAGCATCGCTCTAACATTCCTGCCGGAGGTGCATAACTGAAACTTTATCATGAGAACACATCAGAACATCCCAAACTGGTGAACGTTTACAAAATCTTCACGGGGCAAGGCCGTGAAGGTCAAAGACTTTCCAAGGATCTGTTCTAAACTAAGGGAACCAGGGAGAGATGACAGATAATGCCATCCAAGCCCTGATTTGGGTCTAGTTCCTTTTCTATTTAATTTTATTTCTTAATTTTAATGAAAGTTTATGGAGACTTCGGATTTCAGGTCATTCATTGTTGCAGATCTAGATCCTTTTCTATGAAGGTTGTTGGACCGAGTGAACAGTAAGAAGGGTCTACAATGGTAAAAAGGAAGATGTCCGTTTAAATACTAAGATCTTTTAAATTGTGCTCGTTGTATCAGAAAGTTAAACAATGAACAAAGACAGCAGAAGAATCGAGGCCCTTGAGGTGTGGTGGTAGAATATCCCATGTTCTCCCAAAAGAACAAATATGTCTGTCTTGGAGGACATGCAACCGAGGTGTTCCTTCGAGCCAAGGATGGCGAGACTCCGTGCATGTCAGCAGAGGGCAGTCCTTGGAAAGGGGCATCATGGTAGGAAAGGTGGCAGCTCAGAGAAATAGGAGATGACACCCAAAAGGACGGATTGACACAGTTCTGTAACAACGACCTCAGCGTATCAGGATGGTGAGGAAGAAGCAGAAGACGGCAAGGCCGAGCTGCGGCTCACAGGGTCGCGATGAGTTGTCCGTTGGAGTGATGTGTACGGTTGTGCTGTAGAAGGAGGAGCCCCGGATAATCATTTCCTCATGTGGAAGGTGGTGTCCACTCCATTTCCCAGTTGAAAGGATCGAGATCAAAGTCAGGGCTTGGATGGCATTATCTCTCCCTGGTTCCCTTAGTTTAGAACAGATCCTTAGAAAGTCTGACCTTCACGGCCTTGACCTTTGAAGCTTTTGTAAACGTTCACCAGTTTGGGATTTTCTTTCATTAAAAAATATTATTATTATTATTCATTAATTTTAATGAAAATTTACAGAGATTTTGGATTTCCATTCTTTCATTGTTGCATTCTGCAAGGGGCTCGAGATCTACCCACTGCAAACTCTGTGGAGCACTTCTACCTGGACCCGCGTGAGGGCGCAGGGGCACCGCAAGCATGCCAGTAGGACATGTAGGCCAGAACGCTGCTTCTCCACAGACACACCACTCTCCCCACAAGCCGCTTAGAAGATTCTGACCCAAATGCTCTGGGATCTGACAATCCTCAACCACCCTTGAAGCAGGAAGGGCCCAGGAAAAGCGGTGGTGGTCTCAAACATCCACCACCTCTTTGTTTTGTTTTGTTTTGTTTTGTTTTGTTCCAGACTCAAATTTTCCTTTGAAAACAGTCCTTCTCCTCCCAACACACGCAGGTCTGGTCACTGTGAAAGGTTGCGGCTTGCCCAGAGACCAGCCCAGGCCCTGAGGTGAAATTCTAGGAGGCCAGGCTGAGGCCACACCTTATGGCTTCCCCAGGCCCCTCTGCCTTGCAGGCTACCTGCTTCCTCCACCCTTCAAAGGCCTCAGCTGAGCCCCATAGCAGCTCTCTCACCTTCCTTGGGAAATTTGATTTCCCCCATGCCTCAGTTTCCTTGACTAGAAAATGGGATCTGCTTATCTCAAAGCATTGTTCTGAGAGTTAGTTAGCTGATGTCATCTATTTACAGTGCGAACAGTCTAGAACACAATAGATAGATGCTCAACAAATGTAAATGTTTCTCCATTTAGTGTTTGGATTCTGTTGCTTCACAAAAAAAAAAAAATATGAAGGGCTGGCATCTCGCTGTGATGATTTAGAAGACGGCTTTCTGTATTGAGAGTGACAACACAGAGCTTGGGGAACCTGCAAGATGAAGTCAAACCATCACACTAGTTAAGTTATTGTTCCCTCCAGGCCCCAACTTCATATGGCTACTCAAGTCCTGCACACTTTGTGCCCATCTTTAATTGAATTGCCTATATAAATACATATCAAGAGGAAATAAATTAGCAACGTTGTAGATGCCACAGGTTTTCAGGTTTCCAGTAAATCGCAAATTCCCACCAGTGAGCAGAAATCCCTTTTGACTGTCTTTATTCTACTGCCATCCTGTGGCCGGCTCGTGACACTGCAGCTCGTGGCCAGGTGTAGCTGAGCATCTGGACCATCAATGTCCTTATCGTCCCAGAGAAGGTTCTTGGCGAGGGCAGGTGGAGGGTCTCCTCAAAAAGCCTCATCAGCAGGCAAGAGCCTGGGCATGCATCACCAGTCTTGTCTCGACTTTTGTTTGATGAACTTTAAGGCCATATAGTACAGGATGATGAAGCCACAGCTGATGGCGATGAGGATGAGGTAGATCGCGAAGAGCGGGTAGGAGTCCAGGTTCATGCTCTGGATGATCTGGAGACAGGGACACCCAGTCAGCTCAGCTGCATGTTTGTCCATTATAAACACGGAACGGGTTGCAGCTTGGGCCCCTTCACTACTCACCTTATCTCCTGGGATGGAGATGGTGAGGTTGCCAACCTCCAGGAAGTACGTGTGTCCTTTAAAGTGAATCTGCATCAGCCCTTCAAAGCACCAGCGGAGGAAGGACACCTTGGAAATCCATGAGGGCACTGGAGACAGTGACAGGTATGTTAGACTGTGACAGCAGCCAGCCCATCTGCACAAAGGACTAGCCCCTTCCCCTCGGGAGACAGGCCCCTGGAGCCGGGACCACAGTGACTGTGCCTAGGGAAGGCAAGGGAGGGGGCAGCAAAGGGGCAAGAGCACAAGGGGCACTGAGGGACTGCGATGAGACTCGGCGAGTGTCTGAGGGACCAAGCCCACATCCGATCCACAAGCTCCGAGCAGCCTTCATCTGCCCACAGCATGTGCTCACCACTCACAGCCATGAACATGGACACTTGGCAGCCCAGGGCAGAGGTTCTGGAGCCTGGGCACTGCCTGCTCTGAGGTGTCATGGTGGTGGGATGAGGAGCAATGAACTCCGCCTGTGGGAGCTAGGAAAGGCCTCCCAGGGGAGGGGCGAAGGGGAGGAGGGGTGAGGAGGGGAGAGGGGGTGAGGGGGCAAGCAGCCTGTGAGGGGAGTAATGGGAGGCCGAGGAAGGGTAAGGGGGTAAAGAGGGGGCAAGGGGTGGTGAGGAGGGCAAGTGGGGGCCAAGAAGAGGCAAGCAGGGGGCAAGGGGGAACAAGGGGAGTGGCAAGGAGGGGCCAAGGGAGGACGAGGGGAGGAAGCAGGGTGGGCGAGGGGGGGCCCAAGGGAAGATGAGGAGGAGCAAGAGGGGCTCCCGGCTGACAGAGGAGATATGTTTCCCTGAAAATCCAACCTGGGTGATGTGAATAGTTAAGCACTTAACTACCAGCTGAAAAGCAGTGATGAGATAGTTACGCACTTAACTACCAGCTGAGAGGCTGGTGGTGTAAATACTTCAGGGCTTGATTGAAAGGCTGCCCAGAAGTGCCTCGGAGGACAAGACTGCTCCCAGCGTCCCCACCGTGCCAAGGCCCCTACTCCGCACACACCTGAAGAGGAGTGGCCTCACCAGCAGGTAACAGCAAAGAGCCACCTAGAGACAGGCCGCAGGAGGAAGGGGGGCTTCCAGAGCTGGGTTGAACCAGCAGGAAGGGACAGCCCCAGGAGAGTATGAACTACACATTAGGAAGCCCACCGCCTGGGGTGAGGGTTAGGGGATGTGAGGGATCAGTGGGGGCATTTCAGAAAGACTAGGGAGGCAGTTAGGGGTCACAAACAGCTGCTTACGGAAAGACTGGCATTTTGGGTCCACCTGGGGGTGAAAGAAGGCCTGCTCAGAAGCCTCTGGGGCTCAGACTACTTTATCCCATGTGGGGCTGCTATGGGTCAGAACTGACGTGATGACAACTGGTGCCAGTAGGAGGCAGCCATGGCCTGGCTGACTGGCAAAAGTGGAGCCTGAAGAAGAAAGAGTCAAGTGTTTCTTGCAAATGTCAGTGGGTAATGGGAGAAGTTTCCTGCCTCCTGGAGACAGTGCAGGGGAAAGCTGGACAAGACTCTGTCCACAGAAAACCAGCATGAAGCTTTCATCTCCAGACAAAGCAGGTGTCAACAAGCCATCCAAGGCCTACAGCAAAGCTAACCGGGTGAGGGTGAGCAGGCCTCACCTGTCCACAGGTTGTCCAAGCTTATCATGAAGCCCCCCGTGAGGTAGCAGGAGTTGTAGACAGCATTGCCGAAGAAGGAGGACATGTGGAAGGTGGGCAGCAAGGCAGCGATGAACAGGGCCATGACCCGGCAGCAGAAGACCACCAGCCACACCAGCAGGAAGTGCAGCAGGAAGGGCTCAGGTCTGGGCTGCAAGTTGGCCAGCCAGTACGTGGGCATCCCGTAGATGAGGATGTAAGCGCAGTGCTCCGGGAGCTCCCCCAGGATCTGCAAGGAATGAGCACCTCTGGGATGACACTTGCAGGTTGCTTCTCAGCTTTAGTCGTCCCTGGTGGCCAACTGTGCGCAGACTACACTCCAGAGTTCAAGCCTAGGACTTCTCAGAAGCATATCACAAAGCCCATCTCCCAAAGAGCTTGTCAGAGGCACCCAATCGCCAGCCTTTCTGCCAGTAGCCAAATACTCAACTGTTTGTGCCACCCAGGGACACCCATGTTTCAAGGTAGCAATCCCCAAAGGTCCCAGCGTCCTAAGCTCGTGGTGACCAGTCTGCCTCAGGAGGCTGTGATGGCAGTCCTGGTCCTCAGGCCAGCCTGCGCTACCACCCCGGGCTCCCTGTGGCCAGCTAGGCTGGCAGGAACTGCCCGCACGGGGGTGCGAAGGCTGCTTGTCCAAGGATTGGTTACAGGTCCCCACGCCACCTGCCTGGGACTAGGCTGTGTGACCTCGGCACAGCAGCTCAGCCTTTCTGTGCGTCCCTTCACTGGAACGACAATAACACCTGCCCAGCTTGCTTCCCTGGCAGGTGAGACTCGGGAGAGATAAAGTCTGAGTGTTTTCCACTCTTTAAAATGTTAAACATAAACAGATGAGGGAAAGAACTACCTTAAAACGAATATATGACTAGGCATTGTATGTATGACAACAATCCAGAATAAGAGGTGCATAGCAAAGTGGGCTGGGGGAGGGGGAGGGTAGAGGGAGGGAGGAAATTGTGCAAAAATCGATGATTTTTTTTTAAAATGTGAATTGGAGGAGGGAAAATGGAGGGAGATAAAGGAAAATGTGCAACAATGAATGAAAATCCAACTTTCCTATAAATTTTCATTAAAATTACAGTAAAAAAAAATAGGTATTTGTTGTTGTTGTTGTTATGTGCCGTTGAGTCGCCTGCAAAGAAAATAAAAAACAGAACACACCTGGAAAACTTATTAAAAATAAAATTTTTAAAAATGTTAAATGATTTTTTTAAAAATGTGTGTTTCTTAAAAAAAATGTTAAAATGATTTTTAAAAACTGCTGTTTGTGTTGCGTAGAAGAGTGCCATTCCTGATCCACAGTCCTGGCATTCTTGTCAATGTTTGGACTGAATCTCTGGCTCCCCTAGCAGTGTGGCATCTGCAAGCACAGATGGGGCACAGCCACAGGCGGATGGCCTGTCCCCTTGTCACCTAGCCTGTTCTCTGTAGTTTCTGCACAGGCAGACAGAGCCTGGGTCCCCGCCCCAGGTGACTGCTGGCTCTCAGCCCTGACCTTGGCAAAGAAATAAGGGCCCGCGGTGTACAGTCCATCCTCCAGTTCATGGTACAGCATGGCCCTCTCCGAGTGACCTATGGTGGGGGGGTGGGGGAAAGGTGTGAAAAAGCAAAATCCATGTACAGTGTCTGAGTCCCTCTCCATACAACTGAAAATAGTTATACTGCATGTATGTTCTATTCTTAGAAAATAGACCTGTTCGAGCCATCCTAATTTAGGCGTTTCGTCCAACAAGTCAGATCAGGACAAGTACTTGACGTTTTGCTGTTCTGTGACTTGAAGTTATTGTCAAGTATAAATACCGCCAGGATAGTAATTATTGCTAAGACTCATTGGTCATTTGCACGCTAATATTAATGTGCAAATTTTATGATGATTATCTTGTTTTATTTCATAATCATAACTAAAGCATTCGTCAGAGTCTTCTTCTCCAGCTTAGAGGGTGGGGACAGCAGACCTCCAGTTCTGGTGGCACTCACATTTAGCGATGACATCCAGGATCACGTTGAAAGGGATGAGCGCGACAGTCATGAACAAGAGGGCTGCTGTGTCCATGAAGGAGAGCTTGGTGGCCCCGTGGCCGAAGTAGAGGAACCCAATGATCAGCGACATCAAACAGGCCTCTGCTCCGTGGATGAGAAGGGTGGGCAGGTCTCGGAAATCATTGGAGATCTGACGTCTTGAAAAAGAAAAGAGGAGGTCCCAGAACAATACACAAGAGGCCTGGTGGCCTGAGGGGAAATCCCTTACAGTCTGCAAAAGGGGGTGAGGGTATCACCGCAGTCACTGTTTGGATTAAATTAAGTCATTGACAAAAACATCTGTCCCAGAGTTGATGATACTCAAGAAATGATTTTTTTTTCATAAATGTATCAGCCTTGCCATTTTACTTAAACAATCCTAAAAGCACAACCACTCAGATGCACAAAGACATATTATTGTTGTTGTTGTTGTTATGTGCTGTCAAGTCGCTTGAGACTCATAGTGACCCTATGTACAACAGCCCTAAACTCTGCTCTGTCCTGTGCCAATCGCACCGTCTCTGACACACCCATC